ATACCATACCATACCATACCATACCATACCATACCATACCATACCATGCCAGCATGCCACACCACACCACTGCACTATGCCATACCGTAACACCACAGCATCGCACCACATCACAGCACACTACCACAACACACCACATGTGACAGCACTACCCCACCCCATAACATAATCCATCACATCATATCACCGCACCTAAGGGTGTACACGTTACAGCATGGCAGATGCCTACTCCTAACCACACCCCAGTACAGAGTGGTTCTGAATCTTCCCAATGCTGTGACCCTTTAATACAGTTCCTCGCATGGGGGTGAACCCCCAGCCACAAAATTATTTTCTTTGCTAAGTCATAACTGTAATTTTGCTACCTTTATGGATTGTAGTATAAATATCTGTGTTTTATGACGGTCTTAGGTGATTCCTGTGAAAGGGTCAAGACCCACAGGTTGAAAGTAGCTGCCCTACTACAGTTTTGCCAGATTACACTATCTCACTAACACCAACTCCTGTGAATATGGGTTGGGGCGGGGAGGATGTGTATATTAGGTCAGAGTGTCTTAAAATTTCTTTTGTGACCCCTCTCACTTAAGAAACTTTTACACACACTGGTGTGTGTATATATATATATATGAATATTCACTGACAAGTCATAAAAAATTGAAACAATTTTACATATAATTTTACCATTTATTAAAATAAAAACAAATGTGTATTCTAAGAAGATAGGTGTACTTATTTATTTGTATGTAAAATTTTGAGCTCTTTGATGAACATTTGATACTGTAGGATACATTTTTCAATATTCATTTTTAGAGTTGATCAAAGTGTTGATTTTAGGCTGAATATGGTGACACATGGAGGTAAAGGCAGAATGACTATGAATTGAAGGCCAGCCTTGGCTACAGAGTGAATTTGAGGCCAGCCTGGGCTACATGAGACCCTGTCTCAATAATAAAAAAAAAACTCTTTCAAAAAATTTTATAATCATCAATGTCCAATATGCCACTTTGCACAAGCACACAATAAATAAAATGACAGATCTATGATTAAAGCCATTTCAGAACTTGTTGGAAATTCTCTCCTATTCCCACACCAAAATCAATTTAGCAGCTTACTATGAAACTCAAATCAGCAACTCAAATGCAGTTTTTGTGTATGTATGTATTTGTATTGTGTGTGCATGTGTATATGCGCATTCATGTGCATGTGCCAGATGTGTGTGGAAGCTAGAAGCTGACGCCGGGAGTCGTCCCTCAACCCCCTCCACCTTATATATTGAGCTGGGGTCCCTCATTTGAGCCCAGAGCTCACCAGTTGAGCTAGGTTATCGAGCAAGCTTGATCCAGGGATCACTTGTGCCTGCTTCCAAGATTACAGACAGACTCCCTCAGCCTGGCTTGGACTGTGGATGGCACCTTCTAGTAGGAGCCCAGATAAAGGGGGTATTTCAGGAGGAAGTCTACTCTCGCCTTCGCTGACTTGCCCTTCTCTCTTGCCGTAGAGTTGATTTGTCCTATAGCTACTACTGCCAATTCCTTCACTGGCTGTAGAGCCAGTGTTCCAAGCTTTTACCTTGGAACAGGGACCAGCAGCTCTCCAGGGGCCCTCTTGGTTTCTGGTGTCAGATTATAACTACTAAGGAACCCCACCTTGTGGACTGAGTGACTACTGGTAGTCCCCCCACTGAGAGACAATTATTCTGGGACTACTTTGGCACTAAGCGCCTCAGGTATAATTCAGCTATTTGATTATCTTAATAAATTATAAATGAATCATATATTTAATTATTCATATATTCTAGAGAACTCTGACTAAAACGGAGGGCCAGGATGAGGTCTGGTACACTTGCCTTTGATCCTAATCTTCATGATGCAGGCGCAGATGGATCTCTGTGAGCACAAGGCCTACCTGGTCTACACAGAGAGTCCCTGGCCAGCCCAGGACTGCCTAGTGAGACCCTTTCTCTCAGTTTTTAAAAAATGAGATTTGAAATGATTTTATTATCAGTAGCACTAGGGAACAAAGTTCTTAGCAGTAAATTTATCAATGGATGCAGAAAGCCTGCACACTGAAAACTGAAACATGCCCATGGATCACAAGACTTAATGCATTCTGGTTCACATCCTCTGAAGTGATTGAGTCAGTGAGATCCTAGCCCTAACTGCTCATGGAGGAAGGATGAGCTGCTCCTAAAATTTCACTGGTAAGGCAAATGATGCTAGAGATGCTGGATAAAGCTCAAAGAAAACAAGATTGAAAGATCTGCTTGCTTGAGGTTTTCTTGATGTTTCTTTTTTTGTTGTTGTTGGGTTTTTTTGGGGTTTTTTTTTTTTGGGTTTTTTTTTGTTGTTGTTGTTTTGGGTTTTTTTTTGTTTGTTTGTTTTTTATTGGATGTTTTATTTACATTTCATATGTTGTCCCCTTACCCCATCCCCCACCCACCCAGGAACCCCCTATCCCCTCACCCCTTCTCCTTCTTCTCTGTGGATGTAACCTCTATCTACCCCCCCACTCCCACCTCCCCACCCTCAAAATTCCCACCCCCTGGGGCGTCCAGCCTTCATGAGGTCAAGGTTCTCTTCTTCTACCTATGCCCAGCAGTGCCCTCCACTCTTACATATTCAGCTAAAGTCCTAGATCCCTCCTTAAGTGCTCCCAGGCTGGTGGTTTAGATCCTGGGAGCTGTGGTTGGTTGGTATTGTTGCTCTCCTCACGGTGCCGCAAATCCTTTCAGCTCCTTCAGTCTTCACTCTAACTCCTCCATTGAGAACCCCATGATCAGTTCAATGGCTAGTTGTGAGCATCTGCCTCTGAATATGTCAGACT